TGGCTGCTCTGATATTGCATGTGATATGTGTGTATCCTTCTGCAAAGTCATTCTTAACTGATCTTTAGATCCTATAGTTACAGAATGTTGATTGTCCTGAAAATTACAATCTGCAGACACATATTTACAAACACTTCAGGGAAAGTGCCTTTGTATGAAATTCAGCAAGTCTGTTTAGAAACCTTATATGAGTTTTTAAACTCTAATGCTTTTAACCTTTGTAGTAGAAACTCTAATATTTAAAAATATATATCAGTGAAACAATTTGATAACAAAGCAGAATTTTTTTTATTAGAAAGTATTATGGCCCAAGGCCATAATATAAGAATACTATATTCATATTATAATGTAATAGCAAGTGATATTTAAATTCTTAAGACTGTGTTCTTCCTAAAGGATTTCACATCATACAATTTAATTCTGAAAGGAGGCATTAACTATTAAGAGGCTTTAGATTTTAAATTATCAATCATCTACTCTTTGCCCTAATATGACAAAGGAAATAATTTAATTTCTTGCACACTTTAGGATTTATCAAAACACTCAAAAAGCTTTGAATGTTAGAAAGTTAAATTTTTATGCTATTTTAAAAAACTGGTAAATAATAGAGTAAAAATAGGATTTACTCAAACTATATTACTAGCATGATATTACCTAATGCATGACACATTGGTCATTTATTAACAAACAACTCATCTGTTCTTTTGACACAGATTGTGTTAGTAACCCAATATATGTCATGTACTAGTCTGTTTGATTTTTAAAAATAATTTTCTATGAATTATTTTGTTTTTAAAGCTAATTAGCAAATTTTGTACTCATTACTTTCATACCTTAAATGAAATTTTCTAAACTCTTCAGTGGATCCAATTCAGTATTCAGGCAAGAAGCTCCCCAGCCTTAGTGATATGGTATTAAGTTAAAAGTTCATAAAGTAACAATAAGATTTACAATTTTTATGACAAATACTGTTTAAGAGAGAAAATTTTCTTTTTATAAATTAGAAATGTCTAAAAGATTTTTAAATATCTGACTTGCTAGTGATGAAAAATAAGAGTAGTTTAGTGTGGATAAATTGTTTGTTGATCATGTTACATATTTTCTCTATTTGCATATATGTACATATTTTTAGATGTTGTTTTTATGTGTATGAAACTTATATGCGAGCTTACCTGATTTCCAGTTTTGTGATTTGGGGAATTGTGATCATTTTGATATTTTAAATATAAACACTGAAACCTGAAGTATAATTATTGTCTCATTGCAACTTCCCTTTTATTCATTTATATGTACAATATTTTCATTTTATTGCCACAGTCTTTGAAAGTAAAATCACACTACATTTATAGAGATTGAGTCATCATTTCTCATTTTATTACATTGTTAGTTTTACATTGCTGAATTTCACACTGACATCAGAGATTTTTAGTTAAGTAGAAGAAAGAGAAGCCTATTAGACTCAAGGGCAGGAACAGAATTTTGATGTCTACTGGCCCTTGATCTTACCTATTCAGTCAAACAGGAGAAGAACAAATTTTCAAATTGATATCCCTAGAAACAAGAATATCTATGCTGGATTTTGCATTTGGCTACAACTTACAGTCCACTAAAGAGCAGCTCTACTGGATGCTGCATTATTTCTGAGAAGTCTGGAATTATCTATCAGGTTACCGATAAAATCTGGAGTCCAAGGGCCTCCATAGTATCTGACACAGCTGGGAAGAAAGTCTGAGGAGGTGAAATGATAAAGTCGTATAACTCACATGGTACATTGATGGGCATTAAAACCACAGATGCTGATACATGAACATATACCCAACCCAGTTTCCCAGAAATGGGATTTGTGAAGCAGACAATGGTTGATGCAGTGGTCTTCTCCTCAAAACTGATGAGTTAGGCAGAACCAGTCTATATAGGGCCTTTTACACCATATCAAAGATTTTAGTCCACATTATATGACCAGTGAGGCCTCTTGAAGCAAAGGGGTTAAGCTCAGGATAATAAGGTGCCAGTTTATGAGAGGTCCTTATTGTAGAGTGGAAGATCATGAATTATGGTGTAAACTTGTTTTGTTTAAGAGTCTATGAACAGTGTTTTGCTCATGTGGAACCTGAGCTCAAGGGAGAGTTCAGATCTAGAACATTTAATTAGAATGGATTTCCTAGGAAAAGAATTTAGACCCAAGAGAAGCAGAATAGGCTACAAAGAGGAACAAGCACACTGAATTTATATAGTGGATATCTAAAAGGATAGAATAAATATAGCCCATAATTTAACTCTCTTCCTCCTCTTATCATATCTTAGCATTTTGGTACAACTCTGAGCAAAAAATTGTTAAACAGAATGTGTATGGAACAGTATTATTTCTTGAACCTAGATCAGTGAAATGTCACTAAGCTTTTTGAAAATGGCTTTGTAACAAATAATGTAACATTTTTAGTTTATGGTATTTTGCCTACATTATACACCAAACTTAGACTATTTGTGCTATCATTAGAATCATATTTTATCTTAGAAAATTACACATGTTCTTACAAATTCCATGAAATCTTTTGTATCCAAAGCAACCTTCTACCGCCTCATTATTTTCTTTACTTGAGTGTTTTATAGTATAATTTCTGAAACTTAACATGTTGAACTCCATCCAGCTTTCCCTTAAACCTTTTCTCAAATCTTTTTCCATCAAGTCAGAAAGCTTAGAACCCCTTTATTCTTACTTCTTCCAAATCTTCACATCTGATCCACAACCAAATATCAATTCTGCTTCTAAAATGTTTCTCTGGCCTGTCTAGGTCACCATATACATGGCCATCATTCTGCTCCAAGCTGTCGCTGACATCTCTTACCTGAATTACCATGGTGCTCTCCTCAATTTTCTCTCTGGTTTCCTTCTTGCTGCCCCCTCTCTGAGCCATTCTTTTTATAGGTACTTAGGTATTTTCTTAAAGGAAGGTGAATCAGTGTGCTCCCTTGCTTAAAACCCTTGCATTATTTCTTTCAGTACTTAAATTAAAACTTTTTTTTTTCTGGTTTACAAAGTCCAGCACATGTGGATCCCAGTCAACCTTGCCCTTTACTATGCTTTCCCCTGCCCTGGATGACCCTGTCCCAACACGTTCTGTGCTAATTCTACATCTTCATATTTCAACTTAAATGCTGAGCCTTTCTTTTCAGATGTTTCTTCTTCTTGGTTTGTCAACACAGTCTTCTCTTTAGGCTTGATCCTAAATGACAGAACAACCAGTGCAAAGCCTAAATCTCAGATGACCATGAACTAAAATTACTTAACTTCAAAATCATGAGATTGGTTGATAAAGTGTTTGGACAAGAGAATCTGTCCACAGAGCCAAACAGTTCTGTGGGGTCAGGTGCATGGAGTACTACATACATGGCACGCCCTGGGTATGAGGCCATGTGTTACAGTCCCTGTGTTTGCTCCACGTCCTGCCTCTTCATTGCTTGCTGCAAGGACAGATGGCCAAAAATTGTATTGTTGGATGCCTGTAATCTGCTTAGCAACTGCCTGAGTATATATACATGGTAACTGCAAAATAAAATCAGACCTCCTTCCTGCTTGGTCTCCGGAGGTCTTAAATAGCGACTCTGCAGCCACACTCTTCTCTACCTGTTCCATGGACCTCCTCACTGGACGAGAGAGAACCCATGCAGTTCAAAAGAGGCATGCTTTGCAAGAAGCAAACCTCTACTGTACAAGTTACTGACTCATTTAGATTTCTAGACTAATTTCAAAAGTACTTATAATGCCATTGGCCCAGCTCAGCAGTGGATTCCTTAGGGCTCAGTGAGAGCAGCATACAGGGGACCCGTGCCTGATTTCTTGTTGGGCAGGATGAAAGAAAGAATGTGAATTTCAGCACTAGTTAAACATGGCCCCAAATCTCAGCTCTCCCACTTGGTGGTCAAACTTGGGCAATATATTGCTTCTCTTGGAGCCAGTCTCTAATCTCATGGACTGTGGTGAAGAATAAATGATGCAATGATTTTAAGGCACCTAGAAAAAAAGGAAGGCCTGCAAACGATTCTAATCATTGTCTACTGACAGTATTTATCCTTAGGAAAAATTTGCCATTTTTAAAAGTGATTTATATCAACTTAGAAACTAGGTAGTATGATACATGTAAACTTTGGAAAGAATTCACACACTGACTAGAATTTCTCCCTGGCTTCTCTTGTGAAAGTAGCAAGAGAAAAATGATTCTGTGTCTGAAACAAAGATAAATGTTAGAGAGAATATAGTTTCTTTTAGTCTTTATTTGATCTTTTCATTCTCTCTGAAGACATAGTCTCAAAGAATGAGGAAATCTTCAAAAGCAGAATAGAAACACTGGCATTGACACATGGAGACCTTTGTGGCTTTATGTTTACCAACTGATTTTTTTTTTTAAGCCATAGATAGCAAAATGTCAAGAGTGAAATTGGGAGGCAGCAGCCTTCCATGTTGAAGCCTGGAGAAAAACCTTAGGTCAGTGTGACTCACACAGACAGGTGTTACTTTGGCACATGAGGTTTTCCTATTTTCGTGAGGTATGTGTCCCTATTTCATTTCTGTTGTCAAATGTTTTACATTTTAATCCTGTCACAGGTTTTGGATTAAAAACTTGTTACATTGATCATCATACTCAAGGAAATTTTTAGGCCCTAACAGATTAAATCTAGTAGCTATGTGTCACTCTTTGGCCTGGACAGAGCAATGATACATTTTTTTACTTCCATAAAGGATTTGTCAGCTGGGGGTGTAATCTCAGCAACTTGGGAGGCTGAGGCTGGAGAATCCAGAGTTCAAAGCCAGCCTTGGCAACTCAGCAAAACCCTGTCTCTAAATAAAATATTTAAAAGGTATGAGGATGTGGCCCAGTGGCTCAGCATCCCTGGTTTCCATCCCTGATACAAAAAAAAAAAAGAAAGAATTTGTCAGAAGCACCAACCATACTGTTTTTTTGTTGTTGTTCATTGATTTTACTTTCGTCTTCTTTTTCTAGGATTATGACAGTTTTTTTGAATCGAAGGAAAGCAACACTGTCTTTTCATTCTTAGGCCTGAAACCACGATTGGCATCAAAGGTAGGTTATTTTTTTCTCCTTTTTGCTTTAAAATTCATCTTTCTTGAATTGTTCTTAGAGATAGAGGTTGAAAGTGTTAAAGAAATGCACAGATAGTCTCTATTCATAATTATAGACTATCTAGTATTAAGACACACAAAGATGCTTAGGTTTTTTTGTTTCCATTGTCAGTCATTGCCATAAATTAGGACATTGATTTACTTATAATTTAGACCTCATTCTTCCAAGAAGACTTAAGGTAGCAAAAAGTAGTAGCTGTTTTCTATTTTAAATTGCAATTTTTATCACAGTTCACTCTCTGCATTGGTGGATTAAAACACAGGTCAAGAATATATGCCGGTGTGCTGGCACAGCCTATAGTCCCAGCGGCTCAGGAGGCTTGTGAGTTCAAAGCCAACTTCACGAAAAGCAAGGTGCTAAGCAACTCAGTGAGACCCTATCTCTAAATAAAAATACAAAATAGCGCTAGGGATGTGGGTCAGTGGTCCAGTGCCCCTGAGTTCAATCCCTGGTACCCTAACCCCAAAAAGAATATATGAAAAGAAAACTGCCTCTGCACTGAACATGTACAGTTATTTCTTCTTGTCATTATTTCCTAAGTAACACAGTATAACACCTGTTTACCTCATGTTAGGTATTATAAGTTATCTAAGGCTGATCTGAAGTATATAGGTAGGTGTGCCTACATTATGTGCAGATATTTTCTCTAAGGAACTTGAGTATCTGCAGATCGAAGGGGGGATCCTAAAACCAATCCCCCACAGATACCTAGGGACAATTGTACTTTAAATTTTTTGTGATAGCACAATCAAGGCCATATTTGAAAAGTCTTATGCACATTTAGCTTTTTTACATTGAAGGAAGGGTGTTCTATGATAAGTGGTCAGCCTTGGAAAAAATACTGCAATTCCTAAGCCATTCAAAATATTTTTAAAGCCCCTTTATTAAGTCATATGTCTTTTGGAAAGCCTAAAGGACCCAGGTTGTATCATATTTAAAATTTATAGTTATAAATTTTTTCATAACTTAATTATATGTATTTAATAAATTAATTTCAAAATTAAAAAGATATTAAGTCAGATAATATTTTGATTATTTGATTTTTATAAATGGTACTTATTTCTGATTATAAAAATAACCTAGACTCACTTAGAAAATTTGGGAAAATATGAAGAAAGTATAAAGTAGAACATAAAAATCACTACCCCAAGCTATTCACATTGACATTTTTGTGTTTCCTTGCTATCTTTATATATATATATAAAAAGATATATAGTAGCTGAGGTTTTGACTATATTTACAATAGAGACTGAATTCTAAAGTGTGTGTGTATGTGTGTTTTTCACACAATTGAAATGGAAGTACATTACTGGGAGTTTTATTGTCTATAAGTAATAAGTCTTTTGAGACTACCCAGGATCTCTACGATTTCTGGAACACCTGTGGGAAGAAGGCAGAGACATCAATAATGTAAATTATACACCAGTACCTGCAGTGCATAGCCAATGTGAAATCTTGCTTTGTTTTCACATCCGCAAGTCAACAGATGGTTGTGGGTGGTTTCCATGTACGAGTTTTAAGTAGAGACAAAACCCACACATAAAGTATTTACAGGTTCTTAAAAACTATTTTTATGAAGATGTAACATTTGAATACTTGTTAAAAAATTAGAGTATTTTTATAACATGTTTCATCCAAACATATTAAACAGTACAGATTTATCTTCAAAGAACTAGAAAAACTGGGGTAGGGAAAATCTAATGAATGTATAAACCCAGGGGATACCGTGGTCTATGTAAAAGCCTTTTAAAAAACACTGTGTACTTGCCATCTTTGTTCTCATTTTCCCCAAAGATGTAGGTTCCTTAGACACTCTGCAGTCTGACTTTTTAATTCTTTAAGCCATTTAGGCTTGGGGGTGTAACTCAGTGGTAGAGTACTTGCCTAGCCTGCATGAAGACCTGGGTTCCATGCCCATCACTGGCCCCATGCCCCCAAAGTAGGAAACAAAATTTATTCTGTCTAGAACTTCTTAAGAAATCTATTATCTATAAAATACACATTCTCACATGGCTTGTGGCCACAGTGTTAATGTTGGTCTTGGTGCTATTGCAGCTGACTTGATTTGAGTGGACCAAGTTCAAAAGCAGTAAGGGCCTTGGGCAGCCCCACCCATTCAGCCAGCCATCTTCAGTTCCATGAATGAGAACTACTGGGGCAGGAGCACTTGGGATCAGAGCAGATGTCCATAGTGCAGTGTCTGTGTTGCTTGCTCTCACAAATATTCAGGGGCTTAGAGGTTAAGAGCAGCTTAGACTACAACTTTATATGAGAGAAGGGAAACTATAGGAAAAATTTAGCCTTTTCTCCCCATTTTAGTGACTTATTATTCACTTTGGTAATAATCCATTACATGGTCTACAGATTAAGGCTTTGACAGCGTGTTCACAGATTTGATGTACCAAAAGATGAATCCCCCTTTTCTTATCTCCTTTCCTACTCCCGATGCAGTATGCACACATGAAAGATAAGATAGGAAAGCCATCCAGGAAACATAAGGATGCCGTTAGCATCTATAATTGCCCCACAAATGGGAAAAGAGCATTCATGGGCCCCACAGGCACAGGTGCAGTGTAGATTCCAAGTAAGCTGCTCCCAGAAGTAAACGGAGCAGAGGAAGCCTGGAAATCATCAAATGGTGTCTTGCAGGCCACATTAGCTGTGGATATGTTATCTGTCTAGTGCAGAATTTTTGAAAGTCAAAAGTAAATGGGTTGCTAATATTTATTTAATTTTTTAATTTGTTCTTATTTGTTATACGCGATAGTAGAATGTGTTTTGACATATTATACATATGTGGAGTATAAATTCTCATCCTTCTGGTTGTACATCATGTAGAATTACATTGGTCGTGTAATCATATAAGTTGCTAATATTTAAAATGCAGATTTTTATGCTTTTCTTGAAGTTGGGAGGTGTAGAAACTCAGGAAAAGGGAACACTTTCCCCTGTGAGTGGCTGGAGCCAGCAGGGGCTGGCCCACCATGGTACTTATGCAAGCACGAGAAAAGGAGGCCTTCTTGCTAATAATTTTATGTTGAAACTCATCAAGTTTGTTATTTTAATAGACTAAGAAGAGCCTGTTATAGAAGTTTTTGCTTCCTGATCTTTGCCATTCAGGGGTGATATTTAGAATACTTAACAGAAGGAAATGCTGCCAGAGTTGGAGGCTATGGAGGCCTCCTGTGCCAGGTGACAGCTGTTTAGCAGTTGGATCATGGCTGGAGAGGAGTGGAGGGGCACTTGGGTGATTGGAGCAGCGACTATTTACTAGCAGTTATGGCCATACCAATGCTGTTCTTCACATAGGGTCAGCATAAACCAGTGCCTCTGGAAGCCCCTTGAGTGAGATAATGCTCACCCATCCATGAGCTAGTAGAACGGTACCTTTAAGAGGAGACTCAGTGGGATGTTGCTTTCTACTTTTTATATTTGGCAGATTGGATGAGTGTGATTTAAATCTGGGCTCTGATCCCGAAACCCAGGATTTGCTCTTAACAATCACTTGGGGGGTAATGTATTTCCAACATCTCTGTTCTTGACATTTAAAAAAAAAATACTGCCAAGAGCAAATTTTCTTGTCAATGTAATGCAGTGCTGTAACTGGTGTTTTTGTTTGTTTTTCTTAACAGGCAGAACCTTAGTGAGGCAAAGTGGAAGGTGACGGAGATGCATTTTGGAGCACCCAGTGGTACTCGGCACACACCTGCTTACCTAATGCATCACTGTGACAAAAGCCACATGCATCAGTAACTTTGCTTGCCACGAAAAGGGTGTTTTTGGAAGATGTGGGTATAATGGGGATTGCATGATTGCTTTAAACCAAATCAGGACTGTGGTGGATTTTTTCTTCCCAATTTGCCTGCAGTTGCCTCACTCACCTGAAAGTACTGTCTTCTGTTACGGGTGTGCTTCCTTAATAACTGATAGACAAGTGGGTGGCACCATTAGAGAGAAAATGTTGGGTCTGCCCTAGGATATAGTAGATGCCAGTATTGCATAAACCTACTTCTCTTTAAGCTGCTTGGATTGCATCCTTGAAATTAGTCTGCCAGGCTTATTAGAATCTTTGAATAAAAAAGAAAAAAGCAATGCTGATTGACAAAAGGGCATTGAAGATTTTTGCTACAGAATCATAAACATCACTGCTCTAGTGCTTTGTAATAACACCTGTTGAAAATGTCAGATGTTCTAGATTCCTTTTTGTAATGGAAGCTCTTAACCCTCACAAATCCTCTAAGCTCCTACAGATGTTTCCAGAAATTACTGTTGCAATATTGCATGATCACAACCAAGTTACAGGGATGAAGATAATTACTATTGCAAGGGGAAAGTTTTACCTAAATGCACAAGACTGCTTGAAAGATATATTTTAAGAGGTGCACTAATTAGATAGTCAGTTTATAGGGAAATTGTCTGATTCGTATCTGAAGGCATTTCAGCTTTAGCAATTTATATATACATAAGTGCACATATATTTTTTAAATTCAGCTCCCCAACAGCTGCTTATTCTATTTTGTGAAAGGATTATATTTTTTTGAGAAAGGAAGATCTCAGTTAGATATATTTTGTGGACCCTTGATGATGCATATTAAAAGATACCAATATTGCTATAGAATTAATTTTTTTCTTATGTTACTTTTCATTGTTCTACTATTTTTCTCATCTAGCCACAGTCTCATACTTTTCAGAGTAAAATCGATACACATTCTTACTTCATGTATAAGCACAAGTGAGTTTTCAGAGCAACATATATGAGAAGGGGGCTGTCTAAAGAGTAACTCTGAATTGTATTTGGCAAGCAGATCTGCTCCCATTGGAGTGGACACTGATATACACTGAATATGTTACTTTATTAGGGCAGAGGTGACTTTTCCATATCCTTATATTTTTTAAGGGTTTTGAGTTGCCAAACATGGAACAGCCTTGAATATGATAAACTCTAAGAGGGATGACTAAAATACTCAATTATTCCTAGCATCCTAATACTAGACCTTTTATTATGATACTGAGAAGGATATGTGTAAGAAATTGAAAGAGCAAATGAATTAAAACATCACATACCCTGCCCCCATACCTTGATAAATGTGTACTATTCTAAAGCACTTTTTGAATGCTGAAGCTGAAATTCCAGCCTGATATTTGCAGTTCAGGACTACAGTCAGACGGAAAGCATGACAGAGTTCTTCTTGACTGGAAAATATATGATCTGCAGTTTTCTCTCCAAGGAAAACTGTTGTCAAATCATGGGTATTACTGGTTAGTTGATATTAAACAAGATCCAGGTCATATTCCATTTGATATATCCCAGGGACTATCCAGGAATGTTTATTTCTAACTGGATATTGTATTTGAGTATGTTAGTATGTGAATCTTCTGCTAAGACTTATAAGTTTTTTGTTTTGTTTTTTAGTATGAACCCAGGGGTGCTTTTACCACTCAGCTGCATCTCTCTCTCTCTCTCTGTCTCTGTCTCTCTATCTATCTATCTATCTATCTCTATCTCTCTCTCTTTATTTTGAGACAAAGTCTTACTAAATTGCTCAGGCTGGCTTCAAACTTTCCATCCTCCTGCCTCAGCCTCCGGAGACACTGGGATTACACCATCCAGTGGTGTAATTTCTTTTTAAGATACAGCAATTTTTAAAGTTGTCATATTGTAATTATTCAGTTTACATTTAGTCTGCTCTTATAAGTGAGTGCTGAGAACCAACTTAATAAGGTTGAGGCTTTGCAAATTCTAGGATTGTAATATCAATACCATGATTGCTAACCAGAGAAAGCCACCCAAATTTGTCTGATAACTTTCAAATTAACTATAATATGCTTAGTATGATTATATTAAACATAATGCTAAACCACTAACAAATACAAACCATCTTACTATGATTTTGGGAGGGGGCTATAAAGAAGTACAAGAGAACACCCTCAGGTGGCAGTGTCCTTGCTAGGATATACTAGAAGCACAGTGTATGGAATCTACCACAGTATCCAGGCTACACAGAGTACTGAAGTATTGCCCTCCAGGACTACCCTGTTTATAGAGAATATAGTGTCCTTAATCGTACTCCTACCAGCTGAATTCCAAGCATAAAGTAATGATGTTCTTATTTCCTTTAACTAGCTGCCTTTCATTTTGATAGTCCCAGTCTTTAAAACCCAGGAAAGAAGTGGATTTGCAGGCATAGATGTAATAACAAGGATATTTCAAGACAGAATTTTAGTTTCCTATAATAGGTTCCTTAGGTTGCTAAAAATCAAATATGCCATTTTAAAATCATCTAAAAATATAGAGTACCATCTTTCAAGGTGTATGCAGACCAGAAGAAAATTTACTTGGGGAAATAACTTGTTTTTCCAAATTCTGATGTTTTATTAAAATCAAAGAAGAGAAAAGGAAGGTATTTTGCCCTCAGACTCTAATATATTTGAAATTTTTTTCTGTTTTATTCATTAATTCAACACTTATGCATAGATGTTTTTGTAGCACATGAATTTAATAATGAACTGAACTTATTTTTATCTTTTTATTATGGAAAGGTACCAAAGTTTCTTTCTGTTTTGTTTCATTTGTCTGATTTTATTGTGGGACTTTGCTTTTTCCTAGAAATCCTTTTCATTTAACAGCTTTTCTTAAGTGTCAGGATCCACTTCAATCTATATAATTATTGTTTTTTAGATATCAGTTTGTATGTGTTTGTCTCTTAAGGCATTGATATTTATACTCAGCATTAAAGAAAAATGAATTCCAGAAAACAAGTGTTCTAAGATGGAGTTTTATTTCCTCCCATTTATCACATTTTCTAATTTTAGTTCTAGGTTTGGCTGAATCCTTTCTGTTTAGCTGGGAAGATTTGTTTTTACTCCTCTCCACAAACCTGTGCATGAAAGCTGCAGATTTGGTTGTAAAAAAAGAAACAATGCAGATATATCATGTGATCATTTGAGGAACCATGCAGGTGGTCCTGCCTGTGTTGGGAGGGGAACACAGAGTCATCTCATACAGTGACCAGTGATAGTGACCAAGGACAGAGTTAATCATTCAGCCACTTCCTTGGTTCAGTTCCCTTTGTGGTCTCAAGTGAAGCCATAGTTGATGGATATGGTCCCCTGTTGGTTGCAGAATACAAGGACAGGTTAACCACTACTTATTCTGCCAGGGTCCCTTTGAGGCAGCCAATCACCTTTGAAAGCAGAAGAAAACTTTGCTGAAGGCAGTAGCTGAGGTTGCTTTTATCACTAAACTATGTCAAACCTTAGAACACCAGGATAGAGGGAGGGTGGAGGGAGGGATCAAAGGGAACAAGCTGTAAATTTGCAGAAATGTGCTAAATCATGAAACCAAATAAGCAAAATGACCACTGCCTTCTTGTGTCTCAGATCTGCAAAGTTTTCCTACTTCTAGAAATGCATGATTGGCTGTCCTTTCTATCAGCATATATTGAGTCCTTAAAATGTAATGGATTCTATCCGAGCAGGACAGTAGTCTCCACCCTCAAAGATGAAGCAGAAATAAAAGCAGCAGTTACGTCCAGTGGTAAATGATAGAGTTGGGTAAGTTCTTAGCACTCCAAGCTGTGGTTCATCTGAAACATTACATGTAATCTTTTTCTTTTTTAAAACCATTTCAACTTTCAAAATTTCATACTTGTAGTGGAATACACATAGACACCTACATACACACACATATGTATATATATATATATATATATATTAAAAATAAAGCATAATAATAAACAAATCCTTGTGTGCCTGCCACCTACCTTACTGCCTTTTTGTGAAGCACTGTGTGTTGTTCCCCCAACCTATCCTCCTCCTTGTCCGATAAAAGAGCCCTATCCTGCTTTCATGCTGATCACAGCCTTCCTGTTCTTTATCATTTTGTTTTCATGTATGTATCTTTAAAGAATAATAAATGGAATTTAGCTGGATATATCGTCTGTCATTTCCTTTTTACATTTATTGCAATGGGAGTTTTTACTACTAAATATTGCATTGTATGAAAATATCCCATAGAAATAGAAATAGAAAAGGAAATGTTGCTATGAACATTCTTTTGTTTGTGACTTGTGGTGCACATACCTAAGAGTGGACAATATACCTTGAATAGAATTGCTGGGTTGTACAATAAAAACACATCATCAGCTGTAATTGATAAGGTCAAATTGCTTTTCAAAGTAACGGTACCAATTTAATGTTCCCACCAGAATGTCAGAATTTCCAGGACTGTAGATCCTGGCCTACATTTGGAATAGTCAAATTTTTGCCAAGTTGGGTATCATAAAATGGTATCTCATTGTGGTCTCGCTCGGCATATTTTCTCCTATTACTAATTTGAATGTGTTTAATATAGAAATTTCTATTTCTTCTTCGAAGAAATCCCTCTTAATGTCTTTTACCTTTGTTTCTTCTTCAGTTGTATTTTTGCTATTAATTTTAAATTTTTCTTTATACTTTGCTTTTATTGGTCAATACTGATTTATCTTTTTGTTTTTATTTGTGATGCCAGGACCTTGCATATTCTAGGCAAACACTCTACTACTGAGCTGTACCTCCAGCCCATGATTTAACCATTAAAGGGAAGACAAACACATTAAAAATAGAAAAATTTTCTGAAGCAATTTCCAGAAATATGAAAAGCATGTGAATCTTTATTCTATTTGCAGAAAATAAAGTTGAGTGCATATATTATATGCTTCTTGCATATTGATTTTTAGTGTGTCAGCATGTCAGCCAAGAAATATACTTTCGGTACTTTTCTTTGCTCTAGGAGGGTTCTTTCTCTAAAGCTATTTTAAAGCTTATTAGCTCCAGTTATTTGGCAGGAAATTAACATGATTAATGTTATGGTTTAGTTTTTCTGCTACAGGACTTTACCAAAAGAAAATCTTTACATAGACTTGATGTTTGTATATACTTGTTTCCTTAGTTTGTCAAAATGTAATGGGCCTGTAGCAATAAGTTACAATGATGATATACTTAAAAACATTAAAATTATTACTCTAAGTCATAGGAGATTGTATTGAACCTCTGCTTATTATCAGTGAATAATTAAGCTGAGTAAGATGGATCAATGTCATCCTGAATATAACCCTATATACTGTGCTGGCAGCATGCTCACATGTACAGGGACTGATTGGCAGACAGGAAAAAAAGACTTGAGTGCAGTCTTACCTTCTGAG